ACGTGGACATGTTTTAATGTGTTTACTATCACAGCATTTTGAATTGTGTTTTCACTAGACAAAGATTTTGATTCCACCAGAAATATGTCATCGCAACACTAAGAAAAATGCTTTCACATAAAACACAATTTGAGTGTTGAAAAGTGTTTTCAATAGAGACACATTTATAATGTGTTTCCGCTGATAACATGTAACAAATTTCATTACCAGTTTGGAAAGTGTTAATAAGGAAAATATATTAAATCAAGCACTATTGAACAGTAATCATAACATGCAATAAACAAATCGCATAATCAAGTATTTGAATTACTAAATGTAAACAGTGATAAAGGTAATTTTGTGTATAAGTTTTTAAAAAGGCATATATATATATTTATAACGAATACTTACAATCGCATGTGCAGCTGAATAAGTGTTTTTAAATTGTTTAATGACACTCAACTAAGTTTTGAAACTGAAAAAATACTCAATAATGAATAATTAACTGAAACTAACCATAATATCATTAAATTATGTTTTTATCAATATAAACGAACACAAAAAAACATCATTGCTCACCCACTAGAAATAAATTTACTCAAATTTATTCAAATCCAATCCACGTCTCTGCATATACGTACTACATCCACTCTGTTACATTCACCTTTCACTTTCCTGATTGTTTATTTTCACACTTTCTAAAAAAGACCCCCTTAACATGGTATTTAGCCAGAGTTCTTCTGGCATACTGGGATTTGGACACTGATCATCAGGCCCGTAGCCAGCTCTTTTGAATAGGGGGTTTGAAAACAACAATTATATATTTGATGTGAAATGTGTGAATTTTATAATATTCAAAAAGTGTTTTGGGGCTCTGTTACAGACATTTTTATATTATCGATTCTAAATTCAATTGGTTTACTTTGCGTTACATTGGTAAGATATTTCACATAACATCTTTGGACTATTTTACCATTTTAGAGAAGGGGTCCTGAGCCATTCCCCACCTACAGACAAAAATATTCACACCATTGATCCACTACGGCAAAATGTTGTACACAAAAAAGACAAGACTGTACTTATCTTAGCATTATTGTCTAGGTATTTTAAGGTAGAAGGCTACTTACGAGTTTTTTCGCTCTTCGCAGATGTTAGCGCACATAAAAGTGACACGATTTCATGTCGAAATCTGTCTACAATTATTCATTTTAGTACTAGTAAATTTTGTATTATGTAATTTTATTTCTGAACAGGGCCTCAGCCTATTGTACAAAATGTAATGGGTAGAAAAGTGCATAGCACGTTTTAAACACAATACAACATCCATGTAAAAATATAGTACTAAGTTAAGCTGAATTCATATTCATCTCGTCGCTTGAAAACTTTTAAAGAATATAGAGCTATTTGATATATGGTGTGGCAGTTTGTGTTGCGACTAAGT